ACTACTTATACATGCGTTATCAAACTTGACTAGGAATACATTGAAAAAAAAATTAGTGCAGTTAACAAATGCACATTCAAAGAACTAAACAAGATTGCAAAATAACGAACACATGTAAGAAGCAAAATTTATTAGAAAACACAAGTTAGAAGCAAGAGTTTTGAAGTAAAGGAAAAGAAATACCTGTATTGGTAGCTTTTTTGAGAGTCAACCAGGTTGAGAAACAAGGGTTATTGTTAGCAAATATAAATAGTGTGTACATGGTGGATCAAGAGAACTAGTTTGCAATTTTATTGAAAAGAAAAGGAAAGAAATGTTCAACTGAAAAAATAAGAAAGAAACAACAAAGAGGTAATCTAGGGCTATGACACAAATGCAGTTATTACATCAAAATATGGCAGATGGCGTGCAGTCTATTAAGAAAACGGGTAACCTTACATTTTTTTTCAGAAAGTTTCTATATTTTGGCTTAATAATTGTTAAGGTAATTTGGCTTTTCAGTATTTTTATAAATGTGGTCCCTTCTCTTTAGTGGCATAGGTGTGGTGAGATTTGGTAGTTTTGGAATTAAGGATTGATGACAACGTAGAGTAACTCAAAGAAATATCTTATTAGCAAGTTATTTCTGTGTTGTTACTTTAGGAATATCCCAAATAATGTTCACGTTCAAAATATTCTTAGGAAAGACACTATTCCAAACTTATTTTTGCTTTGGGTTAATTTCATTTTACACCTTTCAGCCATGCTATAACTCTCAATTTAGTCCCTAAACTGCGAATTATGATAGCTTAGTCCCTAAACTATTAAAAAAACCCAAAAAGATTAAACAATAATCCAAAAAAAATCCAAAAAAAAAAGGAAAAGAAATGCTCAACTAAAAAAATAAGAAAGAAACAACAAAGAGGTAATCTAGGAGTATGACACAAATGCAGTTATTACATCAAAATATGGCAGATGATGTGCAGTCTAGAAAGAAAACTGGTAACCTTACATTTTTTTTCGAAAATGGTGTAAATTTGATTGCCGAGGTCGGCTTTTAGGAGCAGGGGAACATGTCAAGAACGCGGCCTAGGCAGCGCTCGATGGATTGGAGATAGGACAGAGGGCGGAATGGAGATTTGGATTTTTCTGGAGGGCTTTGGTGGGGTTGACATTTCCAGAGCCGGGTAAAACGATACAGCAAATGCTAGGCTTAAAACTTTCCAAGATTCCTGCTATGCAAACAGCCAAGATACATGAGGTGGTAAGTTGATTGATACTGTTGGATGAATTAATTCTTCATCAAAATAAACATACTTTAAAGTGATTCCACTAAGGGTTTATTTGATGACATAAAAAAGTACTGAAAATAAACTTTTTCAGACATTTAGATGTTTCGAGTGTTTGATGAACGAAAATCCATCTACTAAACTTGTTAAACAGTGTTGAACTTGTGTATATTTTTTCAACGCAAGAATCCTAATTTAATACTTAATTCTGATAAGAATCAATAGAATTACTTCAACTACCTTATCTTATCAACCAAATATATCCTTGTTATGTTCAAAATTCTTATTTAATTAAATAATATGATATTCTCTATCTAACGGTTTTCTATTCTCTTTTCTTCCTTTTTAATAACTTTCACATCTTCTCCATACTCCTTATATAACATATTTTATCTTTTATATTAATTTGATTTAAAAATAAATATTGTCATTTTCATACCTAATAATTTTAAGCTAATTAAATCATAGATTCTATTTCTTTTTGGATAAAAAGATATAAGGGCAAAATTATCAAATTTAACTTATTAAGTATTCAGTTATAAATGTTTATAAAATAGTATAAATAGGTTTAACATTATAATTCAGACATTCATATATTTCTTTTGAGTGCTTAAAATTCAGTAAATTAATTGTTTCAGTATTCAGATTTCAAAATTTAGATTTCAGAATTCAGACTCAATTTTATCAAATGGAATCTAAATTTATTTAGCAAACAAAATTTTGGAATTTGAGCAAACAGATGTATAGCTAATGTATCAGGTCTTTTTTTTGTTTCATGTGTCTATATCAAATTATGAAACATCAAACTTAGTTACTCTTTTATTGTGTCTCTAGTTACTTAGAGATGGCAACAGGAATGGGTGTCTGCGCGAAAAGGTATAGGGAAGTAGGAGGGGTTTTCTCTCTCCCCCCTCGCTTTAAATGGGCAGGGGCGGAAAAGCATAACCTTGCCTTGTCACCTTGTATTAATCAAATAAATACATATAAAATTATTAATACATTTATTTTGTTTATGTTACGTTGGGTTAAAGTATTAGTAGTAGTAGTAGTAGTAGTAATTAGTTTTTCTTAATAATAATACTATTACTAGTAATTATCCCAAATAGTTGGGTTAAAGTTTGCCTTGTCACTAGAGTATTATTATACTGATGAGATCATTTGTGTACTTAAGCTACCAGTGGAGAAAACTTATTCTGAGCTGATCCTTTGAGCATGTTTAGCTGTGAAGACAAATTGCTTGCCACGTCTCAGTTGACATGTCCAATTGAGATTGTAGTTCATTATCAGGAGCCAAAACCTAAGTTCTGGTTTACTTGTTTGATCGTCCATGTGCTAAGTATTAAGGGAACTCTTCAAGCATGCCTAGTAGTGATAATAAAGATGCTAAGAGGAAAAAAAGCCTCGTGGACACCCGCAGGGGAGCGGGGTGGAGAAGTTACATGACAACAACGGACGAGAGGCTGCCGTTCCAGTAGTTAGTACCTATAAAATGGGTAGTGCCACTGGCCCGAGAAACGGGTAAAAATTTGGGCAAATTACATTTTACTTCTCTATAATTTAGTATTTTTTGTACATAATCCTTTATGGTTTCAAAAGTTATATACAACCTCTTCATGATTTGGATTAAAGTATCAAAATAACGAAAATGATAATTCGTAATAGAACTTTTGAAAATGTCAAAATTACCCTTGTCTAAAAATTAAAATGGTTGAACTGACCAAAATATATAAATATAATATACATGACGCACTAATCCCATATGATTTTATGTTTTACCACATAACCCCTTTATAATTTAATATTTTACCATATAGTCCCCTTGTGGTTTTCAAAATATACACATAACTCCTCTGTGATTAATAAATAATTTTTAATTTTATATAAGGGTATTTTTGACATTTTAGATTATTCCATTATGGATTGTGAAAAGGTTATTTCTGGACAGTCTAGCCGAATTGACCTAATACGTCCTCTTCCTGTGCGAGGTAACTTTGTACTATACCATTCCTGATACACACACTAGACAGGACTTTTTCTCCCAAAATATCTCCAACGATTAAGTTAGTTTTGTGGGAAATGAATAATGGGAATGAAAACAGTAGAGAGTTCTTCCTCTTTATTTAGGAGGGAATGGTATTTCTAAAAGGCCAATCGGAGGGAAGGATGGTGGACTCCAATTCTCTAGGATCTGACAGCCTGTCTGTGTTAACAAGCCGAAAGAAGCACTTCATCAAGCCTCCCACAAATTTGATTGATTTATTTATTCTATTTTTACATGTCAAATCTTGTCAAACGTCATGTCTTTTTGTTATGTAGGTGTTGGGGGTCCCCCAAGGTGTCAGTTATTAGGGACAATTCATTAGTTGAGATGTTGAAGGCTCGGTATTTTACTGGGGAGCCGAGTTGATACAACCTTGGACCGAAGTGACCGGAAACACAGGAAGCCCCGGTCCTTTCTTTATAGCAGCTGAGCTGAGGTTGCCGTCCTCAATAAGCCCCCCGAGCCTCAGGAAGGAGGAGCCCAACCGTCTCCACATTCCGAGGCTTTCGCCTGGAGCAACTGTAGAATGTGACATGTTCAGCCATAATGACAAGTCAAATGAGGGCACGTGAACCGGAGGAACGTGGGGTGATGGGACGGTTAGAGTGGATGACACGATATGAGATCGTGGAGAAAGGCACAAAGCAGTTTGTCAGAAGAACAATCATGCATTAATGAGGAAAGAGGGGCACGTCTTTTTGAAATTCAAACTTGCTGCCCATCCGCCTTCTTTTGCACCCTATAAATAAGGGGTCATTTTCACCATTTATTCACAGTGATAAAAGATTATAGTAGATACGGGAGCAGACGTCCAAAGTCCCTTTGCACCAACCGACATCAGTTCCCTTTTGAAGAAGAGTAAGTTAGTGGAGTGGCAAGGTGAGGCCAGATGTCAGTGGAGCGGAGAGACCCGACCCATCTAGGAAGGAAGAGGGCACTTCATCTAGCCCTAGAAAGAAGGCAGCCAAAGTGCCCCAAGAGGCAGAGGCATCCCAAGAGATTGGTTTGGAAGAGTCCGAGCTGTTGTACAATGACGTCCTCGGGTTCGAGGTGCCAGTTGATATGGGGGTGCCGAAACCACTCACTCCACCGAATCATGCCGAAATAGATGTCAGCCAACTCCCGTCATTTAGCAGCACAGTGGGCTTAACCGGAACAAACGCTAAAGAGCTTTGCGACCGAATAGCTGAAGGCATTCAAGCTGGGAGGAAACTGGCAGAAGTATGGGAGGAGTTCAACTAGTGGCTCTCAGAGTTCGAGCTAAAGCTGGAGGATAAAGAACTAGGTGGGACCGAGGTAGGTGAACTATTGGCGAGGAAGAGAGCACTGGTGGCACCGAGACGGGGAATGTTTAGAAGCGTCCTTGACCTCAGGCCTTTGTACTTGAATTCCCCCTCTAAAAATTCCTTTGTAATTCTTGGTGATCAGTTAATGACAATTTTACTTATTCAATTTTAGTCGATTCTGTTCTTCCTACTTGTCCCCCTTATTTTTAAACAATACAAGTAGTAGTGCTAAAAAATAATTAAGCAAGACAAAAATCAATAAGCATTTTGGATTATCACGGATAATAGGATCTAAGATTATCGACATGTCAAGTTCTAGGCACCAAAATCCATCTCGATATGCCAACTTACAATAACCATTCTGACTAGATTTAACCACGCAGTATGGCCCCTTCCACTTAGGAGCTAACTTGCCTTGAGACTCAAATCGGCTAACCGAGCTTTTTCGCATAACCAAAACTCCCGGGCTGAACTGAAGGTGCTTAACTCGGGCATTATAGTAACTAGCCAGAATGTTCTTGTCACCCAAGCTGCCGCAGCATCTCTTTTCTCATCGGTGAGATCGAGATCCACCCTCCTTTCTTTTTCATTAATTTCGGTGGCAAAAGCTGCCATCCGAGGACTCAGGATAAGGAATTCGGAAGGAACCATCGCCTTGAATCCGTATGTTAGAGAAAACGGGGTCTCCTGTATAGCGGATCTCGATGTAGTTCGATAAGACCACAAGACACTGGGGAGTTCGTCCACCCAAGATGATCTGACTTGGTGCAACCTAGTTTTGAGGCCATGTAAAAGTGTTCGATTAAAGTTCTCAGCCTGTCTATTAGCTTGGGGATGTCCCATCGAAGTGAAGTGTTGCCTAATTCCGAGATTTTCGCCCTATCTCTTGAATTGATTATCCACTTACTATCTTCCATTATCTGAAATGATCACTCGAGGCAATTTGAAATGACAGATAATGCACTGTCAAAAATATTTATGAATAGCAAGGCCGGTTATACTTCCCAACGGTTCGACCTCGACCCACTTGGTAAAATAATTAATAGCCACAACTAGGTAGGCATAGTTGCCAAAGGCCCTAGGGAAAGGACTGATGATATCTGTCCCCCATTGTTCAAAAGGTCAAGACGAAGTGATGAAAACCATGAGATTCGTAAGCTGATGATATTCAGGAGCGTGGTATTGGCACGAAGAGCTTTTAAGGACTAGGAGTTGGACATCTCGTCGGATGGTAGGGCAAAAATATCTGAATAACAAGGCCTTTTTGACCAACATCTGATAGCGAACGTGGGATCTGTATAGTTTCTCGTGTATTTCACGAAGGACACTTTCTCCTTCCTCGGCAGTAACACATTACAGCCATAACCCGAAATAAGATTGTTTATAAAGATTGCCGTCCCGGAGTGCATACGGAGCTGCCTTGCGTTGAGTCCTTCTCGTTTCGACTCGGTCATCAGGAAGGATTTCCTAACTTAAGAACCTGATGAGAGAACTCATCCAAGTGTCCTCTAAGTGTACAAGATAGATCGTTTCTTCCAAATACCCAGGTTTAGTGAGAACCTCCACAAGAACTATGACCAAGACAAGGCATCAGCTCACCTATTCTATAACCGAGATATCTTTGGATTTCAAACGACTCAAAGTACGCAGCAAGTTGGGTGAATCTTAGAGAGATATCATTGCATGGTTTCCTCCCTAGTTCCATATTCACCAAATACCAGACATACGACGAGTTGGAAGTCGCTGTTGGCCCGAATATGCCTAGCACCAACCGTACGGGCCAATCGCAAGCCCACAATCACTATTTCCTGCTCGAATTCATTATTAGATGCCAGAAAGTCAAGCTAGAGAGCGTACGAGCACACTTCTCTGTGAAGATCTTCTAAGAGCAACCCAACTCCACTACCATCACTATTGGAGGATCCATCTACATACAATATCCATCATTGCGGCTTAGCGGTATCCGAAATGGCCTCCTGGCTTGGAAAATGTGACCTCATCCAAGAAATCTGCCAGAACCTGGGCTTTAATGGCTGTCCGAGACTCATAAGAGAGATCGTATTCCCCTAACTCAACAGCCTATTTGGTAAGACGTCCTGAAGCCTCGGGACGTGGCAGGATCTGCCTAATTGGCTGATCTGTTAGTATGCATACGGGATGAGTCAGGAAATAAGGTTTTAACCAGCGAGTTGCATAGACCAGACCCAACACTAACTTTTTCACTTGGGTGTATTGGGTCTCCGACCCACGGAGGACCCCGCTGACATAATATACAGGTATTTAGATACCATCGTCTTGTATCAATACGGCACTTACTGCCTCGTCAGTTGCAGACAAGTGGAGTTACAACCCTTCCCCTGTCCGTGGTGAAGTGAGAGTAGAAAGACGGTGTAAGTACTCTTTCATCTGATTGAAAGCTTGCTGACATTCTTCAGTCCAAGAAAATTTGTTAGCCTTCTTTAACACCTTAAAGAAGGGTAATTCTTTCTTGCCTGACTGAGACAAAAATTGGTTTAGGACCGTCACCCGACTGGTTAACCTCTGCATATCTCGGGAACTCCGGGGAAGCGACATTTCCTGGATTGCCTTTACCTTGTCTGGATTGGCCTCTATGCCTCGGCGTAACATGAGATAACCCAAGAACTTTCCTGAAATTGCACCAAAGATGCATTTCTTGGAATTCAGCATCATTCAGGTGTCACGGAGGATTCCGAAAACCTCTCTCACATTAGATAGGAGGGTTGATGTAATCTTACTCTTTAGGAGGATGTCATTCACGTATGCTTCAATATTTTCGCCTATTTGAAATTTGAAGACCCGGTTTACAAGTCGTTGGTTCATGGCCCCGATAGTGGTCGAATACATGCCCAATGGAAGTCTTGAGAAATGGCTTCATGTAAACCATCATGTCCTAAGTATCAGGCAAAGGTTGGGTATCATGATAGACATGGCTTCTGGTTTGGAATATCTCCACTATGGCTATTCAATGCCTATAGTTCACTGTGACTTGAAGCCTAGCAATATTCTCCTAGATGAAGACATGGTTGGACATATTTGCGATTTTGGAATTGCGAAGTTGTTGGGAGATGGAGAATCTGTGATACAAACAAAGACTCTTGCTACATTTGAATATATTGACCCAGGTGACTTTTCTTGATTCCAATTTCAAATTTTTTATGTCATTCAAATTAATGTTTCAACTTTTAACAACTAGTACAGTATATGAAATATAAAAAATTTTTGAAAAAAATGTTAAATTGGTGAACTGGTACTAGTACTTGACTTTAACAACTAGTTTCAAATTTTTTGATGTTAGAGTATGGACTGGAAGGATTGATTTCAACAAGTAGTGATGTTTATAACTTTGGGATTATATTGATGGAGGCATTTACAAGACTGAGGGTGAGATGTTTATAGAAGAATTAAACCTCAGGGATTGGATACAAGAATGCTCACCAAATTCTGTGATTCAAGTTATAGACACAGATTTGCTTCATCCTGAAGAGAATCTGGTACAAAGGAAAATTGAATGCATATCATCTATCTTGCAACTTGGTTTAAGTTGTACAACAAATGCTTCTGAGGAGATAATAAACATGAAAGAAGCTCTAGGAGCATTGCAGAATATCAAACTTCAGTTTATCAAAGATATCACACCTTGAAGTAGATGGTAAAACCATTATATATGAGATAATCCATTAGCAACATTTTCTGCAATCGTATAGTATATCAAAATCTCATTCCAAGGCTTACCATTCATTCAAGTAGTACTCATGTTTTTCTACTGAATATATGGCAGAGCCCTGGAGTGCAAATGTATATGTGGGAACTCTTTGTCTTGACTTGGTGTCCCACCGAAATGCTTAAAGTTCAAGACGGGAACGAGATATGTTGTATTGCCAATAAATTTGTTTACAAATATGGAGACCTTAAGTTCGTGACCCCAATTTATACGTTGACTTATTGTTTATGCTTGTCATAAATATATGGCAATTAAGGTGGTAATTTACATTTAGTTGTTCATACATCTTTCACCTTTTCAATTTTTGCATATAAATGAAAAATAAATTGATCGTCAATATATATCACCATATAGAGGTACATATAGACATATGTGTTGAGTATGTCTTTGTATCCCACATCGGGACTTCTATAAAGAAGTATCTCCTGTTGATAGTTATAAATATAGTGGACTCAAGTGAGTTTAATTGTGCTAAGAGCATCAGCCCAAGTGTCATATGCACCAGTCCATAAGAGTTTTGGCAGGTCCCACACCCTAGTCTAAGAGAGGTTTTCGTTTGGCATCAAACCAAAAGACCAAGTCATGGGCCTTTGGGCCATTAAGCATTTAGTGATATTAAGCCTCTTTTGTGTTTTCAGTTTTATGTGCCTTTTGGACTTGGGAATTATTTTCTAGAATTTTGTATTCTCTCTTTTGTACTCTCTTTATATTATAGTAAATCTGTTATTCCTTTGCCTGTGGATGTAGGTCAATTGGACTGAACCACGTAAATTTCGTGTTTCTTTGCTTGATTTATTTGTTTTGTTATTGTCATTATTGAGTTGCCAACAACTCTATTGTTCTCGTTGGTTAATTTTCCGAAACCAGACCTAACAAATTGATATCAGAGTTTAAAATTTCAGATTCAGCTTCAGGTTTTGGGTCATGGTTAGATTTTGGATTCTTGATGACAATAACAGGTTTTGGGTGCTACAGAGAGTGAAGAAAAAAAAAATTTCATTGGAGTTCAGTTAGGTTTTGAAGAAGAGTTATTTGACCCGTTGGAACTCGTTAAGGGTTTTGAGAAGAAGGTGGAGCAAGATTACTATGTTCATGGTTTTTAGCCCGTTAGAATCCATTGAACCTTTTGTGAGATTTAGCCCATTGGGACCCATTGACCCTTTTGTATCTTGGTTAGTTTGTGGCTCGCTGTGGTTCGTTGGGACTTTTATGATTCGTTGAAATCCGTTGGGACTTTTATGGAGAAGGTGGAATTTGTTTGTTATTTGTCTATTATTTACCAATGTTGGATATGCGCCAAGGTGGAAATTTATTGAGTGTGTCTTTGTGTCCCACATCTAAGCTTTTATAAAGAAGTATAAGTATCTCCTTTTGGTGGTTATAAATATAGTGGAATTAAGTTAGTTTAATTGTGCTAAAGGCATCAGCCCAAGTGCCATATGCACGGTCCATGAGAGTTTTAGTGGGTCCCACGCCCCAGTCTAAGGGAGGTTTTGGTTGGCATCAAACTAAAAGAGCAAGTCATGGGCTGTTAGATCATTAAGCAATTAGTACTATTTAACCTCTTTCGTGTTTTCGATTTTAGGTGCCTTTTGGACTTGAGATTATTTCCTAGAGTTTTGTATTCTTTCTTGTGTACTATCTTTCTGTTATAGTAAATCTGCTATTCTTTCGCCCATGGATATAGGTCAATTGGACCGAACCACGTAAATTTCGTGTTTCTCTACTTGATTTATTTGTTTTGTTATTGTCATTATTGAGTTGCCAACAACTCTATTGTTCTCGTTGGTCAATTTTTTGGAGCCAGACCTAACAAATTGATATCAGAGTTTAAGATTTCAAATTCAGCTTCAGGTTTTGGGTCATGGTTAGATTTTGGATTCTTGATGACAATAACAGGTTTTGGGTGCTACAGAGAGTGAAGAAAAAAATTTTTTGTTGGAATTCAGTTAGGTTTTAAAGAAGAGTTATTTGGTCCGTTGGAACTCGTTAAGGATTTTGAGAAGGTGGAATAAGATTACTATGTTCATGATTTTTAGCCAGTTGGGATTTGTTGAACCTTTTGTGAGATTTAACCCATTGGGACCCATCGACCCTTTGT